CATTTAAAGATATAAAATAAATATCAAAAATATAAATCTTTGTTTTACTATGGTTGCAAATATCAAAAAATTTCTATATGTGACACGGCACCAGAGTTAAGTTGGGGTTTTTCAAAATGCTGACACGCCGAGCTCAAAAGGTTCGCCATCACTGCTCTAGTCAATAGTGACCTGGCGTTTCTCTGGCTACAGTGACTCTGTCTACCTCACCCTCACCCCATCCCCAATTTGGAGCCCTCAGCCTCTCCTGAACACTTGCTCCCCTCCCTATTCCTTCCACATTCTCTTCATCCTAAACCAAAGTAACAAACTATACCCTTCCTTTCCTCTCTTCCTCTCTAATAATTCACCCAATTATTTGGGTGAATGAAATTATGCTTTCAGGCCCCTGTTTCAGTCATGAACCCTCTTCAAGAACATAACCGCCCCCCATCCAGAAAAACATGTATGACATATAGAACTTTTCCAGCAGCGTCAGAAGGCTCCCCATCCTGTTTTTAGGGTCGCATTCTCTCTCCGCACCCCGCCCCCAGGTCTGCCACTCCAACCCTGTATTCTATTTTCTTTAAAGGTTTCCTGTGTTTTCACCCCATCTAAAGAAGAACACACCCTACCAGGGACTCCCCAAATCCACTGTTTGGTCCCAGGATCAAGATCTTCAAGAATCTTGTTCTTTCTTTCAAAAAGCCATTCTGCCTCTTAAGACCACATGGAGGTCTGGAAAGTGGCTTCCTCTTCCTCCCAACCCTGTCCTCCAGCTCCAGTGACTCTGTCTACCTCACCCCCACCCCATCCCCAATTTGGAGCCCTCACCTTCTCCTGAACACTTGCTCCCCTCCCTATTCCTTCCACATTCTCTTCATCCTAAACCAAAGTAACAAACTATACCCTTCCTTTCCTCTCTTCCTCTCTAATGATTACCATTTTTAATGTAATTCTGCCCTTCTTGAAGCACCCTGGTTTCTAACAGTCATCTGGCCTGCAGGTCTCTCTAGGATTTGCTCTATTCTCAGAAGCTAACCAGAGCCAACAAATCTCAACAGAAATTCAAGGATAGGGTCTATTTTCCAGTACTTTGTATCTTGCTTGTGGACTTTCTTCAAAACAGGCATAGGAAGTTGTTGAAAATGACATCGAAAGCCAAGAATGTCTTCTGTGCTGTTGATGCACCCCTGGTGGCAGTGATCACAGGGCAGTGAAGGGATTAGGGGCACAGGCCCAGTGGACATGTGTTTGTCTAGTAGAGGCCTCTAACCTGCTGCCTCTTTAAGGAGTCCTTATACTCCACACACCATCAAGATTCTATGACAAAATATCTTTGAAAGATTTGTGCTTCTGCTTTCTTACATGGAGGTGAAAATGCATGTGGAATTGGAACAATGTTGGTGGTTAGGGTCCTTCCAGCTCTCTAGCCAATAGTGGGTCATTTACCACACATGTAATTTTCTCAATGTTCCTGGCAATGTTAGTGAGGATACCTTAAATATTACCTTTGTTCTGATTTGTGATCTATCGAGGTTGTGAAAAACATTTTAGACAAGAAACTAAGGAGTGAGCAGGTGGTCACCTGGGTGCCTCCAAAGCACATCTGAGTGGATAAGACATCCAGCCTGTTTACACAATCTCTAACAGTGCTGGAGACCAGAAGCCTGAAATGGGCATCACTGTGCTGGAATCCTGACGTGTGTCTGCAGGACCCTGCTCCATCCACAGACTCTCTGGAGTAATCTGTTTTTGCCTTTTCCAGCTTCTGGAGTCTGTTCTCATTCTTCGTTCATGTCCCCCCCATCACACGCATTTTCCCTCCCCTGCCCCCATAGTCACATCTGCTCTTTTCCTTCTGTTGTTTGAGCTCCCTCTGACTCAATCTTTCGCTCATAAGAACGCTTGAGATTACATGGAGGGACCACCTGAAAAATCTAGAGTAGTTTTTCCATCTCACCACTTATGACTTCATCACATGTGCAAAGTGTATTGTGCAGGGAATATAACAGTCACAGGTTCCAGGGATAGAACTCCGGATATCTTTAGGGGTGCAATGATTGTCCCTACCACAGTATTCAAAGAACTTCAAAATGTCTTTACTTCATATTATAAAATGCTTTTTAAAACTACCTATTTCATTCCTGTGTTCTTGAATGGGGTAAGTGTTGTCTCCACAGTTGAAGCTCTTCATGGTACCAGCTCTAGAGGAGGGTACCATGGCTTCCCGCCCCCTTGGACATTTGTGTTGTCAGACATCCTTCCAGACAATTTGGTTCCATTGGAATGAAAAGGGGACTGGGCACTGGTGCACAGGCTCCTTGGCCTGGAGCACTCCCTAAGGTGTGGGGTTTTGCTCATGTCAGATCTGTGACTCTGTAAGAAGCCAGCCTTCCAAGTCTGAAATCATTCCTGGGACTGAAGGGCACAAGCATGCTCATTATGTCTTCCAAAGATTCAGTTACTGCATTTATGAAAGACAAAGCTTTAGAATGTCTAATGGACAATTTGAATGAATGAATTTTAAATACTTCTGACACATTAATGATGTGTTCAATGAACCCGTCACCAACCTTCTTACATCAGAAGTTGTCTACTTCTATTTATTTATTTACTTATTTATTTATTTATTCATTCATTCATTCATTTGAATTTATTGGAGTGACATTGGTTCGTAAAACCATATAGGTTAAGTGTACAACTGAATAAAACACACGACATCTGTGTCCCATTGCCCCAAGCAAAATCTCTTTTCCCTCCTCCAGAAGTTTTCTATTGAATAAAGTTCTTATCTATACTGAACAAAATGGTTCCAGTTGAGGTAGAGTTGACAGAAGAATGAGGATGGACTATCGAATAGTTACCTATGAGGTTAACAGATAGTTAAACCAAAGAGAAAAACATGGAAGGAGCAGGGAAAGTGTCCAGCTTGTTTAATCTCCTCACACAGCCTCTGGATCTGAAGCCTTGGAACCGCTGTCCTGTCTCACCCCAGGGAGTCACCGAGTGGTGTGCGAGGGTTGCATGAACGCCCTCAGAGGGTTGAGTACAAAGAGATTACAGGGAAGGGAACAAGAGCAACTGCTTCTTTGAAAATCCATCCTCATTAACAAAAAAAAAACATAGATTGGAAGATTTGATATTGTTAAGCTGTCATACTATCCAAAGTGATCTACAGATTCCATGTAATATATTATAAATCCAATGACTATTTTTTAGAAATAGAAAATATTGCCCAGCTGGTGTGGTTCAGTGGTTGAGCATCGACCTACGAACCAGGAGGTCACAGTTCGATTCCCGGTCAGAGCACGTGCCTGGGTTGCGCGCTTCCAGTGTGGGCTGTGCAGGAGGCAGCCAATCAATGATTCTCTCTAATCACTGATGTTTCTATCTCCATTTCCCCTCTCCCTTGCTCTCTGAAATCAATAAAAATAATTTTTTAAAAAAAGAAATAAAATTCAAACAACAATGGAATATCCTCTCAACGGAAAACAACAATAACAAAAACAGAAAGTAACCTGTCTTGGCACAATGTGGAAAAATTGGAACCTGGGCCCACTTTTTGTGGAAATGCAAAATGGTACAGGTGCTGTATAAGAAATAGACTTATCATGTGGTCCAGCAATCTCACTTCTGCTTTTATGTTAAAAAAAAAAGATTGGAAATCGGGATTTTGAAGATATATTTGCACATCCATTTTCATTGCAGCATTATTCATAATACCCAAGAGGCAGAAACAACCCAATTATCCATACACAGAGTAATGGAAAAATAAAATGTGGTATATACATATACAACAGAATATTATTCAGCCTTGGGGCGGGGGAGTAATTCTCAATATGATGCTAAGTGAAACAAGCCAATCACAGGAAGACAGAAAACGTATGTTCCACTTATATGAGGTATCTCAAGTATTCACATTTACAGAAACAAAGAACATTGGTCATTGTGGGGTACTTGGGGGAGGAGAAAATAGGTCACTGTTTTAATGGGTATAGATTTTCAGTTTTACTGAAGAAAAAGTGCTTGAGATTTGAAGAGATGTTACTCACTTCCCAGCATGCAATTGTTCACAGGTGAGATATTCCCTTTCTTTCATATTAGGTATTATCCAAGATGGTCCCTCTCAGAAGACGAGGACTTAGCTTTCTTTCCCATCACCAAAACACATACACATTCTTCCCATCCTGTCTTTCCAATAATTTTTTAAAACCCAATATTTCGTGTGGACTTTATTTCTATGTTATACTGTTCACATTTAATCCAAATAGCTGTGATTTTTTAAAACCTCTTACATTGTGGAGTCAAAAATTTTCATCTCTGAAGTACATCAGTACTGGAGAACATTCCTTATGTGAGCTGGAGCCTAGGGGAGGAATGTTATAGTCCCATGAACCCACATCTCTATGGCCAATTAATAGTTGACAAAAGAGGCAAGAGCATACATTGGAGTAAATACAGTCTCTTCAATAAATAGTGCTGGGAAAATTTGACAAATACATGAAAAAAAAATGAAACTAGACCACCAACTTATACCATACACTAGAATAAACTCAAAATGAATAAAGGACTTAAATGTAAGTCACAAAGCCATAAAAATCCTAGAAGAAAACATGGGCGGTAAAATTCAGATAGCTCACGTCGCATTATTATTGCCAATAAATCTCCTAGGGCAAGGGAAACAAAGAAAAAAATAAACAAATGGGACTACATCAAACCAAAAAGCCTCTGCACAGCAAAGGAAACCATCAAAATGAAAAGGAACCCACTGTGTGGAAGAACATATTTGCCAGTGACACATCTGAAGGTGCCTGCATCTGAATGCAGGAAGGACAAGAGAGTCAGTGACTATCCTTGTGCCCCGGAACACACAATGGGTTCAGGTCAGGAACACGGTGGGGATGCAGCAGTGGAGCAGAGGATGTGACACACTCCGGTGCTTAAGTGTCCAGTCAGGTTCCCACAGGATCTAAGAGGCTATGAAGTTAACATTGGGAGACAGAGTTGTCTATTTGTACTGGGAGATGATCTCCTTTTCCTTGAGGGAGACAATGCATTAGTTTCTTGTGGCTGCCATAATAAATTTCCACAACCTGAATAACTTAAAATAAAAAAGTTATTCTCTGACATTCTGGAAGCCAGCAATCCAAATCAAAGTATGGGCAAGCCCTCATTTTCTCCACAGGCTCTAGGAAAGATTCCATTCCTTTTATCTACATCTTTGGTGGCTGCCGGCATTCCTTGGCTTGTAGCTGCATCACTCCCATCTTTGCCTCCATCTTCATGTGAACTTCTCCTGGCATGTCATCTCATCTTCTGTTTCTTAGAAGGAATATATTATTGGATTTAGGACTCATGCAGATAACCCAGCATAATTTCATCTCGAAATCTTTAACTTAAACAATTGCATCAGCAAAGAACATATTCACAAATAAGGTCACATTCATAAATTCCAGGAATTAGGATGTGGACATATTTTGTGGGGAGCCCCCACTCAACTCTCTATAGGCAGAGTGATTCTGTGGTCCAGTCCATGCTGGGATTTGGATTGATTCCAGAGCCTTCATCCATGGGGGCTCCGCTAAACCATGCAATGAGTCCCACTGAGTTTAGGCTTTGCCTGGAGTTTACAGAAGTGGGGAACTTGGAGGGGAGACAGAGAGATGCCAGGAGAGAGCTTCCAGACATGTACCCAGACATGTGCCCCAAAGACCACCAGCCTAGGTCCACAAAGAGTCAAGTTTATAGAGAAAGGAGGGCTTTCTAGATTGACATCACATGCACTTTGGGAGCCTTGTTTAGATCATGGCTACAAAAATGTCACAAAATATATTTTGGAACAAGCACAAAAACGAAAATAAATAAGCTGGACTTCATCCAAATTTTAAAATTTTGTGGTTTAAAGGACCTCATTAAGAATTTGAAAGAAGAGATTCAAAATGGCGATGGAGTAAGTGGATGCTACACAGATCTACTCTCCAGGACCAAACTGGAATTACAATTAAAATTTAAAAAAACAAACAAACAAAAAACACCCTGAATAATCAATTGAAGACTAGCTGGACCCAGGACCAAACTGGAATTACAATTAAAATTAAAAACAAAAAACAAAAACAAAAAAACACCCTGAATAATCAATTGAAGACTAGCTGGAAAGAACCCTGATTACCAAGGATGGAAAGTGGAAACTGCATAGAGACTGGTAGAAAGAGCTGAGGCATGAAAGGGCTGGTCCAGCTCCCATAGACAGAAGCTGAATTTCCAGAGAAATATCTCAGCTGTGGGGCATTGCCACTGAGAACTCTTGGGTCTAAACCCCAAGCTGGGCCCACCAGCAGAGAGCACCAGAACTGAGAAAGGTATCCAGATAAACATCTGGCTGGGAAAAGCAGCAGGGTTGCTATCTGCCAGGGAAAGATGGCTGGAAATGCAGGCACCCTCTTAAAGGGACAAAGCACAAAATTTCATGTGCAGCCATTCACCTTGGGCTCTGTCAGAAGTAGGGCAGAATGGACTGGAACTGTGTGAGCAGAAGCCAGGGTTGGGGGTTCTAGAGTTTGAGCTCAGAGGGCAGATACCCTGGTTTCCTGTGCTGAGTCATTCCCTCACACTGCAGAGGACATCTTTCTCAGGCAAAACATTGCTATCCTGGCAGTTTTGGCCAGGGAGTGAAACAGTTACCCCACCCTATTGGAAAACCCCTTGCCCCACCCTGTGGAGTTTCTGAGGCCCATTGGGAGACTTAGAATAACAAATAGCCTCCAGGCATAAGCAATTGCCCCTCCCTGTTAGAAAACTTCTTGCCCCACCTATGGACAATTACCTGAAGCTACTCAAGATAGGATCCAATTAGTCTGCAGGCAGAGGCAGGGCTCTGGAGGCTTTGAGCCTTTGCCTGATCTAATTAGTCAGAAACAGCATTTGACACTGGTATGTAGAGCTACCTAATACATTGTCACAAACCCAAACAGGCAGCCAAAATGGGGAGAAAAAAAAGAAAGAAAGAATAAGAGAATTCTCTAGAAGAAGAGCTAAATGAAATGGAGATACGAAATTTATCAGAGAGTTCAGAATAATGATGGAAAAATACTCAGCAGCATGAGAAAAGATATAATAACTATGAAGAATGATTTCGCACTAACAGAGAACACAGTGGAAGGAATACACAACAGATTAGGGCAGTGGTTCTCAACCTGTGGGTC